AGTAAAGTTAATAAAGAAGGAGAGTTCTGTTTTAGGAATTCTTTTAGAACCTCTGGAGATTGTTTCACAAAGAAGAATTCTTTAAAAAGTGCAGAAGATTATGGACAACAGTTGGAAACGTACATATATAAGCCGCACTGGTTATAAGCCGCTGATATCTAATGAACTGTCTCCCACCAAGCCTGTAGGGGGAGCTCTACATATAGCCCCTAAAGTAGGGACGAAGAAGAATGCTAGCTCCCGTTAGCTTGTTAGCTTGCAGCAGTAAGAGCTTCTACTGAAGAAAGGGGCTTTGTCAGCTTTCTATTTCAGCTCTGCAGGGTTGAGCCCAGTCTGTTCATTGGTTCGCAGCTTTAATACAGAAAAATAAATGTCAAAATGTGTGAATTTGGGACATTTGTTTTTCCGTCGTTCCTGCTGCTAGCATGTTGTGCTAAATGTAAATTACCCCGTATTCTTTCATTTCCAACTTTGACTTCCCCCTCTGGTGGTTAGAAAAAGTCCACAGAAAAGCTGCACCTTCTCATAATCTGCATCGTTCAAAGGAATGGAAAGAAAATGAGTGGCTTATAGTCTGGAAAACACGGTAGTTAAACTATAATGATTATATTTTTGTTTTTATTCGCCATGTTATAGAAAGATCGTCTTGATATAAGAGAAAATTACTACTTAAATTAATCGTCGATCAATTAATCCACTATAGATTAATTAATTAATCGATAACTTCCTTCCCCTACTTCATAAAACTCATAGAAGGAAACGAACTGAGAGACCTCAGTTTAAGCAGACTGCTTCAGTAGCAGCTCTGATGAGGGGTTCAAAGCAGAGATCATATGTCACCTAGTTTAGCTTCTCCTCTTTAGCTGCTTGAACTTATGGTTCTCAGAGTTTCTAAAAGTAGAATGAGAGGCAGAGCTTTCAGTTACTTTAAGTCATAGACACAGACTTCATGGCCTCTTTTAATAGTCTGCATTTGTCCCAGAATGACTGGAAGCTAGACGAAGCTAGCATTCTTATAATTCTTAAGATTTTTGAAAAAGGGTTTGGCAGAAACTTGGCCAATTTCTTTTTTTTTTTCACATTTTTTTATTTTTATTTACAAATGTTAGTTACTTTTTTTCAAATGTATGATTTTATAATTTTTTTAAATAGATTTTATATTTTTAAATTAAATTTTTACAAATTGCGTTCTTCTCATATTGTGTTTCACAAATCACCATTTTTTATTTTAATTCGGTTAAAAAACAAGCAATCCACACATTACATGTCAGACTAATTACCGTAAATTCTGGACTATAAGCCGCTACCTTTTCCCCGCTGTTTGAACACTGCGGCCTATAATACAGTGCGGTTAATACATCTTTTTTTTTGATGGCGCGAAAAACAGACCAATAAAATTGATGAGTATTCACAGTTCTTAATGCGTGGAGCCGTGTGAAAACATCCGGCATCACCGGCGGGTTTCGGAAGGCTGGGCTGCTGCGGGATGAAGAGGAGCGCGAGAGCGACAAGGATGAGACTGAAGTCAGTGACGGCATCCTGAAGCTGTTCCATTCAGACACCGAGGAAGAGGACTTTGAGGGTTTTAGTGCGCAGGAGGAAGAAGAAAGCGATTAATGAA